GAAAGAATCAAAGCTCCAAAAGGCTTTATAAAGATCATAATGAATCTCTTTAAAAATAGAGAATTCTATGTTATATTTGAAAATGATATCACAGAATCAATAGTAGCTGAAGACAAAATTGACCAAGAGAAAATTATTTCACCTTTACTTTGGAGAATTTTCTATGATCCTCTTTTTTGCAAAATCCAGAATAATACACAAAGAGGATACAAATTGTTAGTTACATGGAACCCTGATCTAAAAAAACAAACTACAAGAAGGCTAGAATCAAAACACACAGCTATAGCCTTTATGGATGATGTAATATGAATAGTAAGATCTAATAAAGATATGGAAATGATCCTGAAAATTGCAAGAATCTTCTACAAAACCAATGATTCTCAAATAAATGGCAACAAATCAGTCCTGGTTACTATTAACAATTCTAATTGCTATTTGGAAAAGGTGAAAGCAGGTACTGAAGAAGAAGTAATCAAAGAGTTCGATAGAACAAAATAGGCTAGATTCTTAGAAATTTGGACAGGTAATCAAAAAACAACAATAGAGCTTAAAGAATAAGTATTTAAAGCGATTAATATAATCACGAGAACCCTTAAATACAAAAAGATGATGGACAAACAAGCTCTCTATATTATAAATAGAGTATTAATACCTAGAATAAAATTCAGAATGCAATATAGTATATTGTCCTGGAAAATATACAACACCTGACAACGGTATACAGAAAACTTTTCAAGAATAAGAGTGGTTTGTATAAATCTATGCCCAACAGTATAATTCACCATCCAAAGATTCATAATTTGAAAAGTATCTAAATGCTATAAAAAGAAATTCAAGTAACAGGACTTTGCAATAGACTAAATAATCCCAGATCAGTAGGAATCCTATCAACTATTAGACTCAAACAAGCCCAGATCAAAAATTGGAAACCACTCAATTTATTAACCTGAAAATCCTTAAGTCACTTAATAGACAAAGGCAACTTTACACTTCAAGTGACCAGAATTGCTAAAGATATGACAATAATATTTCACAGTTGAAAATGACAAGATATATTTAAATGAAAAAAGGGAAATATTTGGATCAGAGAATATCTTATATTAGAAGAATATAAGAAAGCCATATCATTACTTAGAAACAATTAACTAATATACCTGGATCAGCTAATTGATTAGAAAACTAAAAAAATAAGAGATTGGCAAATGCTTCAGCTCCTACAAGATACAAGCAAAGGACCTATTCTAGAATAGTTCCAAATTGTAACAAAAAATCTCTCAGGAGAACAACTAAAGCAACTCATAAGATCCTGGAAAGAAAACTATATGAAATAGGAACCAGAATACTTTAAAATAGAATCTAATCGAGACAAGCAGAAAAAATTGTAGATAATAATGAGAAGCAAAAGTAATCAAGTAATTTGGAAAAAACTAAGACAAAAAAAAAGAGGAAAACATTATTATAATTAAGCCCTTTATAAGTTGTAGTATCAATAATGATCAGGAAACTAATATATAAAAATATCCAGGATGTTCAGAAGACATAACACAAAATAGTGACTGCATCATAAAAAGAGAAATAGATGAGATATATATAGTACCATATCTTAACATGAAAAAGTCCACCAGAAGAACATGAGATTTAAAAATTCTCAACCCTAGGTTAGTACTTGAAAAAAGGATTAAAAAAGTGATTTACAGAGACCAAAACTCATTCAAGATCCAAAATGATAAAGTAAATCATGTGAATATTAAAACCTAGAAAAAATTCATTACCAAAGAAAATATTAAAAAAGTCATATATCAGGATCATTTGATAGCTATACTTCAATATAATCTAGAATCTAAAGAAAAATTAATCTTCTATTTTGATGAATCACTTATTAATTATGGTAAAAAAGAAATGAAGATAAGAGCAGCTTGGATTTAGATTGAAAAAGATAAAAAGAAAAGCAAGTTCCAAATAGGAATAAACAAGTGGCCCTCATCTACAAGAGCAGAATTAATAGTAATTATAATAATACTTCTAGTAGTTCCAATTGAAAGCATGGTAGAGATCTTTACAGATAGTTAGGCATGTATTTCCAAGTGGAAATCTTTAGAAAAAGAAGATCCAAAAAGGATATTCAAGAGATGACTTAAAGAAAAAAATTGATCTTTTTGGATTCACATGGTAGAGTTAATAAAGAAGAAAAATATAAATCTAAAACTAACAAAAGTCAAAGCATACTCAAATAATCTTTATAATAAAGAATCAAATATCTTAGCTAAAGAAGCTCTAAAATTTTTACCAATTGAATAGAAAGACCTCACCTCATGCAAAATTATTATTGAAATCAAGTAACAAGAAATGACTCTAGATGATTCAATTAGATAGTTTATTAAGAACATTAATAATAAAACAATAGCCTATTAGTGGATACAACAAAACATAACAGAGAAAAAATGGAGTCAACAGATTTTAGAACACCAAGCTCATATATGAGACCTACTATAGAAAAGAGTTAAAGATGGGTACACATAAGATATATCTTTTAAATAATTCTAACAAAGAAGCTTCTAATTAAACTGATCAATGTCGAGCTATCTATATTAAGTAAGTTGGCTATAAGAAGATTGGACCTATATAAACAAATGAAATGTATTGCATGTAGCCAATAAGATGAAATTATAAAACACTTGCTAGAATATTCAACCTATAAGAACCAACTAAAAGAGATATAGAATAAAAAAGTAGATAAAATTACCAAAAACTTTAAAGAGTTACTAGGGAAAAGAGAGAGACTAAAGAGAAAAATCTTAGGATAATTATCAATGATCAAGAAGAGACAGAAAAGTTTGACAAGTGGATCTCTAAAGTAGTAGAACAGGCTTCTAAAACTAGTCAGGATATGTTAAGTTTCTATACTGACCTTATAAAAACAGATATTATTCTAGAAATAGCAGACCTAAAGTATCAAGGTAAACATATAGAAAGAATAGCAAAAAAATGAATAATAAAAATGCAAAGAAGAGTCTATAATCAAGTCTGAAAAGAAGTTTGAAATAAGAGATATGAAAAGATAATTGAGTGAAAAAAACACAAGAAATTGATAGAGAGAATAAAACAAAAAGACCTCCATATCTTTCAAGTTGGAAAACTGTACTCCTGAAGAAAAAAGATCCATTAGCTAAAGAAGAAAACCTTGAAGATAAAGACCTTCAAGAAATTCTAACAAGAAAAGTGAAGTATGAATGAAATAGTTTGATTTAAGCTTTGTCAAAATCTCACAAAGTGATCTACAATAGTGATCTACAGGCAATGAAGTTAACAGTTAGAAAGGTCTTTACCTAAACTATTAATTAAGCAATAAATTATTTCCAAAGTTATACTTAGAGTTTTAATAATTCTTTAAAATAGAGATAAATAAGTTAGGTAGAAACTTAGCTTTAGCAATATATTCTTTAATGTAAAGTATATATATGTTCAATAAAGCATACATACCTAGTCTGATAAAGGGTAAAAAAAAAAAAAAATAAGTTGTTACTTGATATGGGTAGATACAAAATCAATATTGAAAGAAAGGAAGTGATGAGCAAGATATTGGATTCAAGTAGATGATAAGTACCTCAGATAGTTGCAAGAAAATAATTAAAATCATGAATGAATAAGTTTTTTAGATGGTAAGGAAGAAGAAGAATATTCCAAGAGGGTTGATTCCTAATAAGAAGCAGTTTCTAGCAGAGGTTCTTTGAAAAACATGGAGCACTTTTATTTTATTTTTTTTTTTCTCTTTATATAATATATTTGTATAGTTTTAAATATTTCTCTTCCTTTTATTTTTTCTTTTTTCTATTGTAGTTTCTTGAAATCAGTTCTTTGAAGAATAATAGGTAGTGACAACCTGTTGACAATGATAGATAAGTTAGGTAAATCTTTATTCAAAACTTATTCTAGAGTAAAATATTGTTTCCAAAATCATATTTAGAAGCTTAAGCTTATTTGAGAATTGAAAGCTATTGATAAGTGAGTCAGCATGAGATTTAGTTTAGCCATAATATAATTATTCAATATATCTCCATCGGTTTTCTTAAAGATTAATAAACACACTAGGTTGACCTGACTATAGGTTTAAAAAAAAAAAAAAAATACTATTGTTATGATATACTGTATGTATTTCTTTACTATTTAATCAATGAAGTTTGAATATTTATTTAAATTTTGTGAGTATTTGAACTTAAACTAATTTATTAATTTAAGTTATTATTTGTAAAACTTTTTTTGATATTTAAAAAAGTATTAATTTGTACTAGCTTAACTAAAAACTTTGTGAAATTAATGTTAAACTTTCAAGAGTTTACTATAATTCAATTCTTTTTTTTTATTTCTCTTTCTAAAAAAAAATTTTATATAATAGAAATTAGTAATTTTATAAATAATTTACACTTTGTAAAATACTTTTAAACTTGTTTTTTTGTAAATTATTTGATTATAAGAATATTTCTTTTTTTTTTCTGGTTGACTTCCCTTTTTCTCAAAAAATAACCAAAAAAGGAAATTTTTGAAAATTTGAAAGAATTATTTATTAAAAAATATAAGTATTAAAAAATAATATAATGTATATTAATTTTAATATAAGAACTAATATAATGTAATGATAAATTATTTAATTCTAGCGATAAACTGGTAATAAAAAGTGGTACAATTCTGCCGTGGGACATTGATGCAACTATGTGATTCATAACTTCCTATTTTCAGCACTGAAAAATCATATAATTTATCGCAAGTACCTAAAAAACGTAGGTTTTTCAAATACCATTTATGATGGCAACTACTAAAACTTCTAACGACGCAGGCTCGAAACAATGGCTAAAGGAAAGGGCTGCCATATGTAAGTAGAAGATGCTTAATTATTTACTGTCCATTCTGATCTTTGTTTATATTGCGTTAAAGCACTTAGAATTTCCTAAAACATCAAAATTCCTTTCATCATTGGGTGGAAACGTTTTTTTACTCTTGACTAGCTGCTGCTCATAGGCGTCAAAAAACTGACCCCGCTGTAGCTCGCCTTATCGAAAAAGCCGATCAATTACATAAAGAACGCACACAACGACACTTACATGATGCGACGGATGGTTCTAATGAGGAAGAACAGGATGCGATCTCGGAACCTCCCGTGATTGTTGAAGGTAGAGACCGTCGTGCGATCATGAAAAAATCTTTACGTCGAAGTATATTGTTTTCATCACTTAATATTTCGACGCCAGCTGAAGACGAGGAGGACGAGGATATTGACGCAATTGTCAATGTACCTCCACCCGAAGAAATAGTCGTCAAAGGTAAGTGACGAGAAGGGAAAAGCGAAAAAGAATCAATTCTCTACAATATATTATGTTAATACTGATTTATTGATAATAATTAAGTCGCTCCCAAAAATTCTGCTACTGAGGAAGGGATAATTTCACCGAAACATGATAAAGGGACAACCGAAGAAGTATATCGTTCTTTCGCAGAATCAGTTCTCGAACAAGGATTGACAACAGAATCTTCGTTGGAGCTTTCATTTGATCTTAAACCGGAGGATATAAAAGAAATAGCAGTGCCAGATTACGACGAAGAGGTAGAGGAGGAGGAAGAAGAGGAGAATCATGGTAGTATAAAATGAATGATTTTGTTAAAAAACTTTTTAAAAAAATACAGATTCGGTTTTTTGATTTCTTGAATCTTATATTTGTTCTTTGACAGATCATGAAGGTGTAGATCAATTGGATCATGATGTGGACGATGGTGGGAAGAATTGTGGGGATTCAAATGCGGAGAATGTGGAAGTTGAAAACCTAGATGAAGATGAATTTGAACACATCGAGAAAGGTAAGTAAACGAGAAAGGGATATACGAATCTTCGTTTATTGTCTTCCAAATATCATCTTTTATTTACGTTATCTATTTGTAGAGGAAACTAATAAAGAGTCATCAATGGACGAAATGGTGGTAGTAGACATTGTTACGACTTCGGAGAATAATGATTGATGTTTATTTAAATTTTAGTGAACTTTCTACTAAATAGACAACACCTTGAAGAATTACTCTTTAGTAATATTTTATAATCCAAATTTCTTTTGAGGTCTGATACATGAAAATATTGGTTTCTCTTGTGCTTTGTGAATGTACATTGTGTTCATATATATTTGGCGGGTTGGTCATACTCTAATGGTACATTAATTCAATCTTTGTATAGCAATTTTTTCTGTTGTAATATTTTTTTTTTTTAAGATTGTTTATATAAAACTGGTCTATTTATTTTTTCGTTCGATAAGTTTCGATCCGACTTCTAAGCATGTATAATTTGGCCTTATGAATGCATATTTTAAGACACAATTACTATATACAATCTTTTGATTTAATTTCGAATAATATTTTATTTATCATGTATTATTGTCTATTACTAAATATGGTTTGATTATTTCAAAATATTTTTTCACTATAACCTAATTAGCATAGTCAAGTTTGTATCACGGGTGTGGACGAAATTGCATTGTGAATTTCCGAACCGCTATAAATTATTGTAGTACGGAAATTTTCAATGCAAATTCACAATGCACTGGTGCTACACGGGAAACACACCCCTGCGAGCAATAAATAGCCACTTAAACCATCTACTGTATTACTCTTCTAAGAATTTTAACCTTTTTCCTATAAATGTCAATCTTGATGCACAATGATTTTTAATCAATTAAGTTTTATCATAATTAATTAACACTTTTCATACGAATGTTCAATTCAAATTGTGATTACGATCAGAGATCGGCAAGTGCTACATGCTTTTTGGAAGCGCTGTACACTATAATCAATTTAATCTGCAGAATATTCCTAAATGAAAATTAAATTGGATAGTTCTATCCGAGGAGTTCAATCAGCTTTAAATAGAAACGACTGCCTCGAATATAATTTGATATTTTCCTCGGCGATTATTTTATGCGGTGCTCGTATCTAATTTTCATTCCAATATCAAAATAACCCCATTTAGGTAATGGAAGCCGTCTACGGTGCAATTGATATTATTATGGATGAAAATTGAAATGCGTTGGATGTGAATTCTAAATAAAAATGAAAACATCAAAACACGCGGAATCATGGAAATGAATAAATCAACAGATCTTGAAAAAATTACCGTGACGTGTATAACCTCACTTGAGTTCAAATCTTAGTCATGATCTTCTTCTTCAATGCCTGGGCATTCCTCTAACAGCTCCTCGGCGCTACCATATTCACATCCACACCAAAAACAATAGTGGTGTTGATCACGTAGATAAGTCTGCACTAAGCAGAACTTTTCTTTTGACTAATGAAACGCAGACATATATGAATAAATAGCCGAACAAACGAATAAAATATAATGATGATCTCAACCGGGAGTTTTTTAAACTCTTCGATTTTTTCCTTTGACAGTGATTCCTCGTTCAAGGTAGAATTGTAATTTCCAGGTGTTTCCTCAATTCGTTCTTCGTCCTCCACATTTGGCCAAAACACATTGTACTTTCAAAGAAATTCGGTGCAAGTTAATAATTGAATAACAAAGTGTAGTTGATTTGGGTTCTCACCTGAATCCCCTATAAAGGCGAAACACGTCAGACTCGTCTATGCCAATCACATTAAGCGTATTAAAGGGAAAGAAAAAAAACATACCTTTCTATTATCTAAAGTTTCACACATTTTCTGGATCTTATGTAATTGTTCTTCAAGTCTTTTGATCATACGTTCTCTACTCATGCGTTCGATAAACGTTTCCTCCTCGATTTTCGCTCGTTTGGCCGCTTTGGCAAGTTCGTTTTGCGCTCTTTTTTTAATCTGTGTAGACATCCCGACGCCTAGTCTGTCTAGGAACAACAAAGGTAAAGAAAGATTACGAAACTATCGGCCGAAAAATGCATACACACATGGGGCTATACCTTGTTTCAGTTCAACTGACAACGGTTCCGTGAGTCCAGAACCATTTGCTTCTTTCCCAAGGGGCTTTCCTTTTTCATAGCCCATTTTCATCAGGATTTTCATTCCGGGAGATTCCTCGTTATCTATTCTCTTCGAGAGACCTTGTTCGAGACTTTCTTTGTCTAACACGTGACGAGGTTTGATGTACCCTGAGTTTGATTGAAGTTTTTTACGTCGACGTTCGGTGTAAGTTTGGTGTTCAGAAGTTGAAGGCGCTTCCACAAGATACTTGGAAGACATGTAATCTTCCGGATCTGAATCTGACATCGTTTATGTATCAATAAGATATGAAACTTCAAAAAAAGGTCATTTTTAATAAACGCAACGGAGGTTACATATATCTCGTGATTGGCTCTACGAATGTCTATATTTTGTTATACTAGATTACTTAAAACCACACAAAATGGTCAGTCGGTTTCCGTGAAAGAAAATGTAATATAGATGAATAAAAATAATTTTGTTTGGAAAAAAAAAAAAAAGAAAAAAAAAAAAATAATACAATAATGATAAAACGAAAATGCTCGATAAAAGTGCATATACTGTATATACTATATATATATATAAGGTTCGCATAAATGAATGACACTATCTACAACCAAAAAATTTTGAAGCAATCATCGGTGAATTTATGAGCTGTTCTACAATTTCAGCTCTCCAAGAATTTTCGAACACATATTTTTGTATTGCCACGGATCACCCGCAACTCTGCGAAATTGTAACCCGTGAACCCCGAGCAATAATGGTACTTTTACAATAAAAATTTCAAATCGTACAACGAGGTCTGTAACATTAGCAGTCGATGGATCATTACCACTGCTGTAATTAAGATTTTCACTATACCTATTGACGGCAGGTGATAGCGAAAGTCGAACTTCGCCATCAGCCGAAAAATGAAGGTCCTGCCCTTGAGCATAACTGTCCCTATACGAAGTTGAAGATGAAGTAGATGCAGCCGAATTTCCCGACGAATGACTATCTCTACGCTCGTGTCGATTAAAGTGAGCGTGATGATGATTTGTAATTTGTTGTTCACCTTTCCCACCATTTGAACTAACAACAGATTTTAGGTCTATGCTTGGTATATGTACGCATTCGAATCCTCCTCGACCTTCACGCCATTTCACGCCAATTCGATCCAGAACCCTTATGAGATCCTGTCGAATGACCGATGGATGTTTTGTCGAAGTCGTCGCCACACTAAATAAACCCTTCAGATAAACCGGTCGAATCCCGGAGTCGGCGGTACCACCGGGTAATGGAGAGTGTGGGGATGAAGATGGTGGAAAATTAAAGTCTTCAGTCTTACGTTGTGTATTAGGTGATACGCTGATGGTCATTTGATTTCCACCCGACGTACTTCGTTGGTGCACCGAACGGGGCGAATTTGTCGATGGGACGTAGCCCGTTCTTTCGTACTGTGAATCAATTGTCGATGATGGCTCAGCCAGTTGAGGCAAGATACCGACGGGAATTTTTGCAGTAGGATTCCTATCTGCGCTACTTCCACTGGGCGTGTGAGATAATCGGTTATTTCCAACGGAGTTTCTCTGTCGATGACGTCTATAGTCTGCCTCTGAAACTGACGTAGCTCTTGACAACATGTGGGAGAGCCTGTGAGAGAGATGGCTGGAGCCATCTCTTTTGGGACCATTTGGCGTTGATCCATGACGTCGATGCTCCGACTGGTTTCTTGGGGAAGATGGTGCCGATGAGGTAGGAGAGATTGGTGGTGAAACGGATTCACGTGGAGAACCAACAATTGCTAAACTCAAGCGTTTCATTAGTCCTCCGCCAGAGCCACCGCCGCTTGATGGTTGTTCACTACTCTTTCTGCCATAATTCAACTCACCACTAACCTCATCCATAGTCTCCTCAGGAATTTCCCCTTCCTCGACTGAAGCTATATTTGTGAACTCCTCTCCACTTGTTCGTGTGCGAGGCCTAGTTCCGGGAACAGTCGCGCGTCTAACTACCGAGCTATTAGCATTGAAGCCAGTATCACTGACATGTGAAGGATCAGGTACGGGAACATGGGGTATTTGTAAGCTGTTGTTCACCTCAGAAAGAGAGGACGACGAACCAAATCTGGGGATACCGCCTTGTTGTATTAAACGTTCTCTCTCAATTTTTTCCTTTACAAGGTAGTAAATTGAAATTAGTGGGTGAACCGCTTGAGTAGGGTCTGCCGTGATAGATCTATCTTCATGGATCGAGCCACTCGAGCCTGATAATTTTCTACGGTAGTACTCAGAAAGACCATTGCTCCTTTTCCTATTATCAAAAGACCCGTGATTGTAATATTGTGTTTTGATTGAACTCTGATAAGAATCACTTTTGACGATAGCTTCCAAACGCCTTTTGATCTCTTGTTCTGTGCCAAACTCGAAACCAGTCATCCGACGAATCACTTCGGGATCTAGGGGAAGTGTAAGAGGACTCCTTTGTGGCAAATAATTTTCAGGAGGACCATCGTAACCCTTGATCATCCACGAATGATTCATCACCTCAGAAAGTGTGGCACGATTCATCGGATTGGTTACAAGCATCCTCGAAAGAAGGTGCTTACAATCTGATATGATATTAAGTTATGGGTGAGGTTAAAACGATAAATTTCCAAAAATGTCAGTAGTAATAAACACTCACCGCTACTCAGCCATCCGGGATATTCAACAACACCTCGCTTAATTTTTGCATGTAAGGCGGGCATGCTTTGGTCATCAAAAGGCACTCTGCCGCAAACCAGGACATAAAGCACAATGCCAAAACTCCAAACATCAACT